ATAAAACATTTATGAATAGTGCATATTTATTAAAAAACATTCATGCCTTAATGAAATCCACTGTATTAAGCAAAAATAAGTATTTACGGTTGTCTGTTGTGAGATGCCTGAAATGATACAACTCTAGAATTTACCTTTCCTGTATCACCTCTTCATCTAATCCTTCTAATTCAGGAATATCATCCCTGACATCTTTCCCATCATGCAATGCTTGTGCAGCCTGGAAACAGAAGTGTCACATTCATATAAATACTGTAAATGCATTAATTATTAAATGGGTTTTAATTTTACTATTTTCGCTGATGAGTATAAAATCTGCTAAATTAAATTTACGTGAACAATAAAACTCATTGTTTTCTTGACAATTTCGTTATTTTAAAACACAGTGAATATCCAAAAAACATCAAAATAGTGAAATTAATTGTCAATGAAAATAAATGGTTTTACAGTATGGAATGGAGGTGTGGTGTATTGGTACGGCAGTGTAGTGTATCAAGATTGAAGTGTGGTGTATCCATATGGCAGTGTGGTGTATCAAGATTCAAGTGTGGTGTATCAGTACGGCAGTGTGGTGTATCAAGATTCAAGTGTGGTGTATCGGTATGGCAGAGTGGTGTATCAAGATTGAAGTGTGGTATATTGGGATGGCAGTGTGGTGTATCAAGATGGAAGTGTGGTGTATCAGGATGGAAGTGTGGTGTACCAAGATGGAAGTGTGGTGTATTAAGATGGAAGTGTGGTGTATCAGAATGAGAATGTGATGTGTCAGAACAAAAGTGTTGTGCATTAGAATGGGGGTGTATTCATTCAGTATCAGGATTAAATGGTGGTATATCACAATAGAAACATGGTGCATTTAGGTGCAAAGGTGATGGATTGGGAGAGAATGATGTTGAATTTCATAGAAAGAAAAGCAGTATATTGGGATTGAAGCGTGTTACTGATATGAAAGCTGTGGTACAAGAAAGTTGTGATGGAAATTATCAAGCAGATTTATACCATGGAGGATTGTATCATAAAAGATTGGAATGGATCAAGCAGAATGTACCATGAAGGGTTAGAGTGACTTTACAAGATAATGAACAAATATCTTGATGCAGAAATGGGAAACTGATTAAATGGTTCAAAAACAGAGCTATTCATGGAGTGATCTGAAATCCATCAATGTTGTATTTATATTTACCTCATAAAACATTTTGTATGCAGATCTGATAACCGTTCTTCCATACCATACATCAATGACATCATAGTTTGGACTCAGTTGCCATAAAACACTCATAGCATAGCGGTCTTCTCCACCAATCAGAGAACAGAGATCAGCACTCAGTATCGGTGGTAACATATCATAGCGTCTGTCTGCTAAGTAGACAGTTGTGGCTCTAAGGATAAAGAAAGCGTATTTTCTATTTATTTCCATTATGAATAGCAGACATTGGTCATTTTCTATAGCCCAATTCATCAAGGCCAGTCTTAATACCAGACAGTAACTATGTTTAAGAATGCATTTGAAGCTTCAGGTTCATTTGTTATTTCTTTGACTTTTTTTCTTTGTTTGTTTTGTTGTGGATGACCATTTTTATTTTCTCGGAAAAATATTTTGAGTTAATAAATATCATTTTTATGTAAGGAGATGCTTGACTTTATTCAGCTGTGTTGAAGCATAGCTAGCACAATTATGGTAGAATGCTGGTCATGCGTTTTTGACGTATGCACTTATTTTTTCACATATACCAGCGACAATAATCAAATCATAGTTAATTGTTCTAGTATTAGACAACAGTATGTAGACTTTCAAATAACATTTGGTTGCACATCAGTAATCAATTTGCTGAGGCAAGGACTGACAGTTAAAATTTTTTTTCATTTCCGTTTTTCCAATTTTTGTGAGCAAAACTTTCACAAACCAGCCTATTTATAACTCACTCCAGAACTCGTAGCAGAGTTAAATACCTTGATTTGGCTTCTAGGTCTGTCAATGAATTCGGTTTTACAAAATAAGATACATCTGCTATATGAACTCCAAGTTCAATGTTACCATTCGGGAGTTGCCTGCAATGAATAAAGAATCATATATGCATACAGCTGTATTGTTGACTTCATGAATAAAACACCAAGAAAAACTCATGCTTATAATTACAGTTGTTGATGGTGGTGGTTCGGAAAAAATTCCAATATTGCTAATTTCAGGATTTTTAATGTTAAAACACACACTCAGTTTTTTGTTATTATTTGCAGAAAATAAAAAAAAATTACAACTTTGAAACTTGTTGATGAGTTATGATTAGTTGTGAACCTAGAACACTATAGACAAAGATTCAAAAATGTGCGACAAGGTCGGAAAAGCCAGTTTTAAAACTACCACCAAGCTACCATTGGTGGCTGACTGTGCACATGGTATAGTACATACCCCTAGCACAAAATATTCATACATTTCTTCTGAAAATGTCCAAAAAACAGTTTCAATTTCTCCTTTCTCAGAACTGCACATATGCATAGAGGAACCATGTAGCAGAGTATCCAGAGATATGCTAAAAGTCATTTGTGCAATTATTTACAGGCAAGTTAGTAAATTGTTGAAATTATTCATCAGGCTTATTATATACAGTCCTAGTTTTTTTATTACAATAAAGTACTGTTATGACTGAATTCCATCTGTGAGTAATGTTATATTTTGAACTGTGTGTATCTCATAATGCATGGGATGATAAGACCAGCTTGGGACAGAAGAATAATGAAAAAACCATAGAATATGCATGTGAGCAGCTCTGATGCCATGACTAATTTATGTTATTTTCTACACAAATGTTGACTACCCGTATACAGCAGCATTAAATTCCATAGCATACAAAGTGATGTTATACGTATGTAGACTAGAATACAGATTACCAGTAATTACCTAACAGACAAAGTGTCATCTACATCTTCACATCCTTTCGGATCTATACTGAATATCAGATGAGAATCACGTAAATCTTGTCTCCTAGCAACCTCCTCTGGATCTATGGTCCAGGGGTCATCTGAGGAATTTGATGGCAATTCTTTTATCTGTCAAATTAATGAATAATAAAAAAGTTTCTAAGTAATGATTTAGATACAATAATTAAGGCTACAGTATTCAGAGTATCCAATCATATTTGTCCTGTGTCAGCTGATTTCAGCTTGTGAAATACCCAAACTATACATGCAACAATCAGACAGATTCCATCACCATGGCAATCATAAACATACCTGTCCTTCTGAGAATGATCTGATAGAGATGCTGTTTTCCACAAGAATTGATGAGATTTCAGTTTCCAACTTTCCAATTGAACCAAGCGTCTGTACGAAATGACCGTTCGGATATTGGGAATCAACAGGCCATGAATCAATCCTGACAATGACTCTATGATCTCCAAGTGAATCTGATTGTCGTGTACTTATCCGTATTTTAGGTATTCTGTAATCCCAGGGAATAACAAGAACTTTTCCTGCTTTGGATGTATTTCCTTTGTTCTCCTGGGGATAGAACATAATAAAGTGCATCTGTTTGTGACAGTCCACCAGGGAATAAGAAGAACTTTTCCGGATTTGTATGTCTTTCCTTTGTTCACCTGGAGATAGAAGTGTATCTGTGTGTGACAGACCCCCAGGAAATAACAAGAATTGTCTGGCTTTTTATATCTTTTCTTTTTTCACTTGGAAATAGAACTTAATAAAGTGTATACTAGTATGTGTGTGACAGACCCCCAGATAATCATCAGAATTTTCACTGTTTTGGAAGTCTTTCACATATTGAGTTATCAATTTCCAATACTTTCTAGGATGGAATGCAGTCTGTACTTTCGGCAGGTGAGGAGAACTCAAAAATAGAAAGTGAGATGCAGTCACAAACGTATGCAACATTGGGTGAAGCATGGTTAAGGTCTACAACTTGGCCTGATTGATGACAGCAAAAAAAATTAACATGTTATTATGATAAGAAATTGACCATACAGCCCTGTCATATAGTCCTCAACATGGAATATGGTTTCTGTGGCACAATTGAAATGTTTATTTTTAGCAAAAATTGTAAGGCAAATTGATACCCCATGTGACATTTATGATTGCAAATTATGAGTTCTATTATTTTACATGATCATTTAAATTGTATTATTGTTGTACATAGAATTTTGAAGAAGAAAAAAAACAGCAGTTCTTTGATGCAACATCAGTATATTACCTTATCAGCAGAGAACGAAGCAACATAATCTCTCCAATTTCTTTGTAGGATTCCAATAACTCTGCCAGTTGGCATCACATTACTTGAATCAATCATCGCTTCCGTATTTTCAATTCCTGTCAAATGATAAGCTTTGCTGATGTTGACAATCAACATGGTTCAAACTGTCATATTTATAATGGATGGGTACCCTGGTTGCCAAGTTACTGGGCATGTGCTCGCAACAGGGGTCATTTGCGCATGGCAGCGAGGCAACCAGAGAACTCCAATTTCAAATCAAATTTAAACTTTGCAAAGGTCAGGTTTGAATACAGAATATAAACAATCATTGTTGTTTTATAAAAAATATTTAAGAAATGAAAATTCCCATGGTCAGTGAAAGAATAATGGTAGATTTTGCTTACACGGGCTGAAATAGACAGTATGCAAATTAGCACTTTAATATGCATGGTAATGGCTCCAATACTAACTATGTCTGTACATTACCCCAAGGTATCTATGACCAAATCTGCTCAGTTTTTGAAATTTTTCCTACACAGGCTGAAATGAGATAATTAATATGCAAATTAGCTACTTAATATGCATAAACACAGCCTCAAATCTAATCATATATGCGCATTATCTCAAGGTTCCTATGTACCAAATTAGATCAAAATCTGCTCATTTTCCTAAAACAGGCAGACACACAGACACACCAAATTCATTATCTCCTGTGATTGCATAACTAAAAATCCAATTGCCGGAGATAATGTGTGTCAGGATTTACAGTTTCTCAGTTTGAAACATACTATTGGCAAGTTATCTAATTTTGTACAATTTTAAAACAATGACTGCCAGTAGGTTGCCATATTCAATGGAATTTCAAAAAATTGGTAAATGAAATTTGTCTTTAGGAATGCACATAAATCCAAAATGGCAGATATTGTTTACAGTATTTTTAAAATATAATTTATAACATTTATTTAAACGCATAAATTTTTGGTCCAGTAGTGAACAAATCATTTTCTTCAAATGCTGCTTTTTCTAGCATCAAACTATTACTTGAGGCTTTGTTGCTATGGTAATGTTGAGAAATTGAAAATGCAGACAATACACAGCTTTTGGTTCAACTGAATTACATTCAAGGTTATTCCATTTCAAAATAGGGGTATAAAGGTTACCTTCATGAGTTTCTGTTAGTGAGATAATTTTTCCAACCCACTGTGACTTGGGTAAAAGTTCTACAGCGACAATATCACCATCAACTGCTCTGTTCCTATATCAGTAAAACAGGCAAGTAATATGGTTATTAATAACACATTAATATGAATGATATAGTCCCTGTCTGGTGCTAATTAGTTTTTTGATATTAAAATTTACACACTATAGAAGACTTAATTATTAGGTGGGTTTTATTTTTGTTCACAACAAAATGCACGAAATTAAAAACCAGTAAATGTATTCAAATCGAGCAAATGTACCTTTATCATCAAATACTCCAATATTTACCCTTGAGCAGTACTACATGTAGTCGATAAAATAAACAAGCAGCCTCTCGGCTGAGATAGCTCCGCTGTTAGCAATGCACATTTCAATTAAATAACTGAAGATATCATTAGAAAATGAACAATATGCATAGTATCAATACAATGGAACTTGCTGTTTTCAACAAGAATTCAAAAATATCATTTTTCACCATAAATGATTGTGGTTTTTAACAAGAAGAAAATATCACTTTTTACCAAAAATGACAAAAATATTCACCAAAATTAGAGAATTAAAGATATCATTACAAAATGAACAAATCTGAGAGAGGTCCACATGTAGTACCTATTTATGTAATATCAAAGCAATTGGACTTGCAGTTTTTAACAAGAAGTCGAAAATATCACTTGTTACCAAACATGACAAAAATATTCACTAAAGTCAGAGAATTAACGATATCATTACAAAATGAACAAATTTGAGAGTGGTCCACATGTAGTACCTATATATGTAATATCAAAGCAATTGGACTTGTGGTTTTTAACAAGAAGTCGAAAATATCACTTTTTACCAAAAATGACAAAAATATTCACCAAAATTAGAGAATTAAAGATATCATCATGAAATGAACAAATCTGAGAGAGGTCCACATGTAGTATACATATATGTAATATCAAAGCAATTGGAATTGCGGTTTTTAACAAGAAGTCAAAAATATCACTTTTTACCAAAAATGACAAAAATATTCATCAAAATTAGAGAATTGAAGATATCATCATGAAATGAACAAATTTGAGAGAGGTACACATGTAGTACCTATATATGTAATATCAAAGCAATTAACCTTGCGGTTTTTAACAAGAAGTCGAAAATATCACTTTTTACCAAAAATGACAAAAATATTCATCAAAATTAGAGAATTGAAGATATCATCATGAAATGAACAAATCTAAGAGAGGTCTACCCAAGGTACATATACACCAAGTATCAAAATATCAAGTTGAACAAGTAAAACATTGACACGGACGACGACGGACAATCACTCATATGATAAGCTCAGCTCAACAAAGTCGACAGAGGAGCTAAAAACAGTACATAATTCAAACAATACTTTGATTACTCAACATCATTCATTGGTAATGACAGGCTTAGACATATTAATGCCTTGCCAGTCAGCTAATTTATAATAAATAAAAAATAATTTCATCTACAACTCAATACATGATAAGTCTATGCTAGCTCATGCTAATTTTGTATCAACTTTAATTTAACTTTAATTACATCCACTCAACTTAGAAATATTCAATTAGATACTAAGAAAAATATTATTATTGGGCTGAGCAGTCCTATTATCAGTGCAGTTTTTTTTAACCCACTAGTTCCATGCCAATTTGGTGACCAGGAGTTAGATTAAACCCACATGGTAAAATAATCTAATGTACCAGTCTCTTCAGATCAGACACTATTGAAAATTAGAGACAGAATTTACATTCATAAAATACAGCATTTTAACCCTCATTTGATGTTAGAAATACTTTAGACCAATAAATTTTTGTTGCCCCAAATTTTTCAAATATTTCTTGAGAAAGAAATTTTGTGCAAGTCACTGTACTAATAAATGTTGCGATTTCCCAGAACTCACAAAATTCATGAAAATGAGTCACATCTGAATTTAAGTGGTTTACCGGTACTTATTATATTTAAGGCCAAGCAAAAATGAAAGAAACGCTTCTGGTAAATTTATTCTTCAAAATTAAATTATGATACTACAACTTTTGTTATGGGGATGAATATGACAACAGTAGAATCAATATATGTTTTTGTTTACATAATTTTAATGTGAGATTTAAATACAATATCTCTCCTATCTGCTAAAGAGGTCATACTATATCTTAAATTGAAATTCCAATAGGTAGATACAATATACACAATATCAAACGATGATGTGCAAGGATAAAATAAGGTTATAACGAGTATACCTCAAAGTATGGACAAAGACAGTACAGCGAAAGTACCGACTGACGCGCAGTGGAGGTCGATGCGACGGTGTACTGCCTGAGTGCATACTTTGAGGTATACTCGTAATATTCTTGTTATTATACATCTTTTTCTTCCAAGGATACGTCATGCGAATGCCGAAATCCAGCCATGTTTGTTTTTATTATTAGAGGAAGCTTACTTGCATAATCATTCCATATTTGGAATTCGCATTTCCTAATATGGTAGGATGAAAATATCCTGGCATGCAAAATTACGGCACGCTGTAACTTATGGCGTTACAGTGACAGATGTATAATAATAGGTGTTATAATCTTACCTAGCTAACATACCAGATATAATAATATCAGAGTCTGTACCAGATTCTTTCATTCCACCACTGAAATCACAAGGGAGAATATTGTAACTAGTATTGCATGCAAGACAAAAATTGCATTGTAACTAGGAAGTAATGCAAGAAAGACCAGGAATTCAGTGTATATCAACATTTTTTGCTCCCTGTAAATGGTCTTGAACTTCAGTGACAATTATTTACATTTTTGAGAGAACTAATGTTAGTTATTTGTACCCCCAGAAATTATATACCAGGATGTGTGACCTTTCAGAAGTCATGCAGAAGACCCATTGGAATAAATAATGAATATATTTAGTACTTCTAAATATTCTTCATTCTTTGTCACCATGGTTACAGCTGTACTCATATACTCAGGTTTACACTTACCCTGCTCTTTGTACAAATGCTTCTCTTTGTGGTCTGTGCTTATTAACATGAACGCATCCTTGTATATATCGTCCTGACTTAATTCCTGCTGATAATATTTCTTGGGGTAAATACTCCTTGTATCCTTTGGTTGTGTCTAAAGAAACATTTTATAACAAGTTATTGTCAATGACAAGTCCTCGTCCAGTTTTCAGTGACTGTCAACAGACATGATTCCTTCCAATATTTTGCCCATGACATTTATAGTACATTTCTAGCATGAAAATGGCTAGAAATCTTGAATCAGATTCTGAAGCAGATGCATGTGTAAATGTGTTATATGATGTATGCATCAAGTTTGAACATAATCAGTCCAGCCATATTAGTGATATGGGTCCAAAAACAGCATTGTTAAAAACAAATGGCGATCAGTCGGCCATTTTGAATCAAATCTAGGGGAAAAAAATTACATGCATCAAGGGGCCCAATATGTTTAACAGACATACCTGATTTCAAAAATAATTGAAGACAAGAAAAATGATCATGCGATTGAGAATATAAACCAAACAGATGAATATTAATGAAAAAAAGAAATAAAACAAAATACAATTTCCTGTGTTTTTGTTTGGAACTCAAAGTGAATTATGCACAAAAGCGTACATCATTGTGTCTTTTTCTCAATTTTCTTCCTGTGATTAGCGCTATTTGTAGGTCTGTGTTGTATTAATGATGGATTGCTGGCCAGTAAAGTAAAGTAATAACAGTGTGGAATAGAATTCTATTCTATACAATAGAATAGAATTGTTACCTTTCTCAACAGTTGATTCTGACAGTGAAGCAGACAGCGACTCATAAATATCAAGAGCATTGGATAAAGTTGGCCAGAAAGTTTTCAGATATTCTTGCATTGTCAGTAAAAACACTTGTCTTGTCTTGGCAGCAAACTTAGCAATAAACTAAGTAAATTAAGTAGAAATGAAAAGTATTAATTACTAACAGTTTGTTTGTTTTTTGAATGCCAAAATCAACTTTTGAAACTTGTCAGAAAAAAAAAATATATTTTTTTCATATTTTTTCAAAAATGTTGGAAACAGGAAATTATGGCCATTGGGTCTAAAGATTTATAGAGTAATTATAAAAAAAAATAAAAGAAAGGTACAAAATGTTGCCACAAAATTTTGGTAGAAAAAAATAATCGTTTTTAAAGTAAGAACATACATTATTAATGCTGTCACAAAAGATTGATTACAGTATTACACAAAATCACATTCAACATTTTAAACAATAACATTTCTGGCTGTAAAGCTCCACCGCAAGGACATCATTAACCGACTTCTCACATCGAGTTGATCATGAAATAAACTCACTTCTTGATCTTCAGTGATCATAACGATAGAGACTTGTCCCGCAAGGTGATTATAGTACCATACAGCAGCTTCATACACTGATCTATAATATGTAGACGAAAGATAACATGTCAAACCTTTCTAATGTCATCATTTTCTAACCAAAATTTGTGTGCAACATTTTGCTAATTTTTGTGTATTTTTTATATTTCCTAACAAGTTCTGAATCAGATAAACAATATTCACCACTGGTTTTGATCAAAATTTGAAGAAAAAAATAAAATACAGCTATATTTTGAGAAAGGTGACAAAAGTTCAAAAGGTTAAAGTTTACAACTCAACTTCCGATTACCCTAAAAAATAAACATTTTTTATCGGAAATCTGTTTTTCTTGGAATAGGTGGAATCCAGGTCTGGATAAATTATTTTGATTTTTGGAAATATCAGACAAAACTATAAAATGTGAAACTGTTGCTGGTGTTTCTGATATGACATGTAAATTTAAATCCAATAACTAAATGTAATTTGGTGGTCGCCATCTTGGATATCAGTTAAAATACCAGTTAAAATACTAGTAATATTTGAGTCAGTGCATGAAAGTTCACTAATAATGACCTCATGAAATTGTTATGGATTATGCGACTCAATGAAATTTTGAATTAATATTCACAACAAAAATATTAACTTTGTTGTCTACAGATCTTAAGTAGTTTTATCAATAATTTATGATACAACACATGAACAGCTTGTGACATATAATCATTCTAAGCTTTCACCATAACCTTTAGGCCTATGCTTCCACTAAATCTCCTTTCACAAACCATTATCCTTCCACTTTCTGCTATTGCTTTTTTTTTCTGTAATACTTTTGTGCCTGGAGGCAGAGCTTTGCTAAATGAATGTCTCTTTTGTGTGTGTAAAGCACAATTTCAGACAATACAGTGCATTTTACATTAGAATTTTCCATTTTTGATTTCATCTTTTCATACTTGGATTATGAACAGTAACCAAGCTGTGTCGGAGATTCATAATATATATTTGTATTCGTTTTTATATTCCTATTATCATTCTTATTACTGTAAAATCTGTATTAGAAGCCGCGGCTTCTATTAAAATGGTACAATGCAACAGAGGGGATGCGGCTTCTATTAGAGCATCTACACATATGAGAAATGATGAACTTTTGGTTCTCAATTATTCAAATAGAATGGATGCGACTTCTATTAGGGATGCGGCTTCTAATACAGATTTTACGGTACATGTCATTTTTCTATAGTTAATTCGTTTACCATTCGCATGAAGGATTCCTCTGAGTAATTTTCGACCAATTAGAATCATTTAATTTCAGCCAATCATTTTACTCTGTATTTTATCTTTTTCTTCCGCGTACTTACATTTGTATTTCCCGTGTACATGGTTTCTCTCACGTTTGATACGCACCTATATAAAGGGCTAGTTTCAGAGTTTCGGGGCTCCTTGTTCATGTGTTACATGTTTCTATGCCAGTTTATCCAGCAATAAACCATACCGTGTTTTTGCATCCATATTTGACTGTTTATTCTGCCATCAAGTACAACCAAAGCATACTACTGTATCCCCCACAAGCTGGCACTGTCAGAATGTAACAACCAGAAAACCCCAAACTCGTTACACCAAATATTCTCACCTCAGTTGCCATTCTTTGAGTAATTCCCCAGGCTGTCGTTCACAGTAAGCGTAATGACAATACTCGTTAGCAAATATTGTACACTGTTGTCTTGGATCTTTAACCATTTTACGTATGTTGTTGTATGACCTCCTGTTACCGTGATGTAAAACCTGATTACAAGACAACAAAATTGTGAATCAAG